TATGTGTGTTAAAAAGAGAGTATAAGTGTATTATGCAGTGCTATTAGAAGCTACTGTACTACTCTAGTCTATCTAATAAGAGAGATAGAAGAGGGGGTTGGTTACAGCCTTTCTAGCAATGGTTGAGGTTAAGTGTTTGCAGTAGTGACACTCGGATGCGTCGTCACCATAGTCGCACGATAGTCGGATGTTTCGTCACACGATGATGGGATGCGTCGGCACCATAATCATATGCATCTCAGCACAGTCTGTTGCTAAGACTCACCCACTTATTTCGTATATATATAGACTCCTGCAAAGGGCTCCTCTAGCAATACATTCAATGCAGTTCCTCATGCCTCTGGTGCCTCACATAGCTCTACATTAAGACTATATACATAAAGTTGCGCGCAGTGCGCGCACGCTAAGCCTTATACGCAGATATATTTCTATGCGCACTGCATGGACTTCTTAGGTGCGCGTACATTTCTGCACGCTTCTAAGATTATATGATTCCCTGTAGTGTTCTAAGACTCCTGTTGCCTGTTTCTAAAGAAACATCTTCTACTATTAGTCCTTAGACGATAGCTTAGTTCCTGCACACTTGCTTACAGTTCTATTAGGAATTGTAGCATACGCTCCTCCCTTCCTAGCAGCGTCCTCACCGCTTTGTCTACACTGCTGCGAATGTTAGAGAGTTGTACTTAACCTGTAAGTGCTGCTCCTAGGTCTGTCTGCTATTCTGCTATCTTTTCCTAACTATGCCTTGCTGTTTAGCTTACAACTGTTGCTATTATACTACTTATTATCTTAACCTATTGTCTTATACAAAGATGTGTCCCTACAGGCCTTACTATTCTTTGCACACAGAGTGCGTTTGAACCCTTTTGTCGAATAAGTGTGTGGAATGCGTAAGGAAGGGGAGTTGTTGAAACGCTTTTGTTTCTAACTAGGCTTAGAAGAGGCTTAAGCGCGACCGCTTAAGGGTGCTTCTTGTAACGGCGCAGGCAAGACAATGGGTCTGAATGCGGTAGGAATCCACTCAGAGGCATATGGGAGTGCGTGGGGACTCAATGACCTGGGAACTCCATTAACACCTATAGGCCTTGTACAAAGGATATTAGAAAACTACTAAGCTAGCTACAGGAGAGAGGTGCAACTAAATACATAGGGGAATAGAGGTAACAGCAGGGGGCAGGGCAGAGTTAGCGCTAGGTTAAGTCAGGGTTGAAGCTAGGCTAAGTTAGAGTTAGAGCTAATATAGGGACCTTTTAGATAGGTTCTAGGCAACCTAAGATAGAACAATTTATAAGACTTATTACACTACTCCTCTCTTTATAAACTAATAGCCTTTATTAGTAATTATAGTAAAACATATTACTATCTTTTCTTTTATTTTTAAACTAAATTAGGTTTAATTTAGCTAGGTGTTTTTATTGTAAAATATTTTTTATACTACTAGCAGTGTTCTCTAAACTAAATGCTACACATGTAGTTATTAATTATTAAGGTAGTAAAAGTAACTTATTAATTAAAAATAATTTAAATAGAATAATAAAGTCTTTTTTATAAGTCTTTCTTTTTAGATTATATGCTGTAAAGTAGGCTACTATAGCTTTAAAAAAGTTTACTTAGGTATGTTTAAAACTATAGTTTAGTACTTATAGGCTAAAAGAAAGCTTCTTTTATAAGTAGAAAGACTAATTTAACTAAAATACTTTTTTCTTAATAGTTACACTAATAAAGCGCGCTTTAAATATAAAAAAACACTTTCTTTTTATTTATTTTAAAAGTTTAGAATGCTTATTATACTTTAGTTTTTTTTTTAACTAGTAATAAAATAAGCTTATAAAAGCTTTATTATATTCTTTACACTTTTAAAATAAAACTAGTCTAATTTAGCTGGGTATCCTAGCTCTAGATAATCCTTTGTAATACTAGCTATATGTCTCTATATTAACGCTATGTGTGCGCGCTTACTTTAATAGTAGTCTAAATTAATGTTAAGTCTATCTATAATAAAGGCTTACTATTATTTAAACATAAGTGCTTTACTATCTATAAGAATTTTAATTTTAAGTATATATTTAGTAAAGTAAATTTACTAGGTCTAAAAGGTGCCTAAAAAGTCTTTTACACTTAAGGTAGTAAAAGTAGTATAAAGTGTTATTAAAAGTAATTTAGTAGTTAGTAAAAGTTAACTAGTAGTTTTTAGCTAAATTAGCTACTTAAGCTATACTTATAATTAAGTAATCTAATTATTAATAAATATAATGCTAGAGGTTAACTTTAAATTAGGTAAAAGTATAGCTTTAAGTGCTGCAGAAGTAAGTTTAGCTATTAATATAAATTATTAACTAACTTTAAAGAGCTTGCTTTAGCTAAAGTGTATTTTAGTTTTAAAATTAAAAAGTAGTTAGTTAGACATTAGCCGCTACCCTTAATTCTACTAAGTTATTAGTAGTCGTTAAGTTTTTACTTTAGTGCACTTTATATAACTTTTTTAAAAGTAATTTTAATTATTAAGAATAAAAAGTTCTAAACTTAAAAGCTTTAGTTAATAAAAGTTTCTAGTATCTTATTTATAAACTAAATAGTTTAATATAATAGTGTGTAAGTATTATAACCTAAACTAAATTAGACACGTCTTAGGCTTAAATATAATTAAATAAATAATTAGTATAATATTATAATAAAGCTATTACTAGTAAAAGTAAGTTTTCTAATATAATGTAATAGCACAGGCAAGACAATAGGTCTAAATGCAGTAGAAATCTACTTAGAGGCATATAAGAGTGCGTAGGGACTTAATAACCTAGGAACTCTATTAACACCTATAGGCCTTATATAAAGAATATTAGAAAACTACTAAGCTAGCTACAGAAGAGAGGTGCAACTAAATACATAGGGGAATAGAGGTAACAGCAGGGGGCAGGGCAGAGTTGGGGCCAGGTTGAGTCAGGGTCGGGGCTAGGCCGAGTCAGGGTTGGGGCCGATACAGGGACCCTTCGGATAGGTTCTGGGCGACCCGAGATGGAACGATTCATGAGAATCGTTACACTTCTAGAGATAGAGGAGACACGCCGTGCCTGATGCGCGGTGCTGGAGCGCGAGACGGTCGCCTCCGCAGAGGTGGCTGCTGCTTATCGCCGCGAGGCCTAGGCCTCCTAGGAGAGGGCAGATGTGTTAGCTAAGAAGACCTAACTAGAGAAGCTGCTCTAGCTGCTCTAGGATCGCCAGACGAGGTATATTGCAGGGGACCTCTTGTCAATAGACAAAATTAAAGCTCTTAAGGCAGAGGCAGCTAGCCTGCTTGCTTCTTAGCCTACATTATTATCTACAACTGTTATTTTATTAGCTACATTACTACTACATAATGTTTCTAGTAGTACAACTTTGCTTAGTAACTTTAGCGCTTTATTACTTAAATAGTTTTCTTTAACTAAGGATAATAAAAATAGGCTAGCGCTTTTAAAGTATTTTTTAAATTATTAAAAAGTTTCTAAGTGTTAAATAGAGTCTTTTAGCTAGCTGCTTATAGTATAAGCACTTAAGTAGCAAGAGTAAGAGTAGGGTTGTTACAATCCCTGCTGCCGGCTTATTCTAGCGGCACGCTGGGCCGAGGAGGAGATGGGGGTAGATTAGGTGTGCAGAGTCCGCAACGGGTGTACAGTCCGCCTAACCTTAGCTTAGGTAAAGAAGGATAAGGCTAATTATAATTTACCCTACAACAGCAGTATAAGGTGCCTAGGTTAAATAGTCTGTAGACAGGATTAGAGGTATATATGTTGCGTAGAATATACAAATAGTATTACACTTATTATAAAGTAATAATGCTACTTAGTCTATGTAATAGATAAACAAAACTTTAATTACACCTCTTTTACATAGTTTATTGCCTTTAGCTATATACATAAAGTTATAAAGAGTGATCGCAGGTGATTGCAAGTGATCGCAGGCGATCGCAAGTGATCTCCTGCGCGCACCTGCACGCACTTGCGCTCGCTTGCGCTCCATTGCTAGCCTTTTATTAAAGACTGCATCCGCCTGCTAGCTAGTCTGCCATGACTACCTATTCCTTGTCTGTTAGGTCACGTGCTTCTTTCTTTTTTATTTATTACTTTATTACTTATCTAGATTAGTAATAGAAGGCTAGCCTTATAGACTTACTGTTTATTTATGCTAGAGGTCCTCTACAGTCCTTATAGCACAGCACATGCAATGCTTTAGCAGAGGCTCTAGCTCTTGTGCTGCTGCTGCTAGCAGAGGGGGGCTAGGCAAGTAGGTAAGGTAAAGAGTCACTGCAAAGCTAGCCTAAGCAGACGTATATTTACTTAATGCTATGTCTAATAGCTATAGCAGAAGAGGTAGGCTGCTAGCTATGTAGGAAGCTGTTAAGGAGGGCCTAAGCTAGAATACTAGGCTGCCTAAGGTAAGCATCTGCAGCTGTACAGACTGTAAGCGCTGCTGCTTAAGCAGGGGCCCTATAGAGCCGTGGATAAAGCTGTGGAGCTACTAAAGTAAACTACAGTAGTACTCTTTATAGCTTAAGGTAATTAAGGAAATTAAGCGCATAGCTTAAGCATAAAAGACTAGTAACAAGGCTACTATGTAGTAGGTAAACTTCTAGCGGCAGCCGCTTAGATGCTTACTAGACTACCTCTGCACGCAGCTTAGAGCATCTAGGAAGGAGAGGGGGTAGTCTTTATAAAATACTAGTACTAATAGTATATATATATGTGTATAGAATATAGGCGTTGTTGTATACATGTCTAATCTCTAGATTTAGCTAGTAGCAGCTATGTAGCTAGCGCCTCTTCTACCTGCGCTTAGCGCTGGGCTAGCAGTCCCTATTTAGCGCAACAACGCTGCAGTGCTGCAGCAGCCTAGCAGTTTGCTAGCAGGCAAAAAATCAGGTTCTGCACAGGTAGCGGCGTAGATATTACCCATAGAGGGGTAGCTGTTAACATAGGTGGAAATCATTTGGAAAGATCGACATCATTGTCTTGAATGCCGCGGTCATGGGCAGTAAGCCGTTGGCGGAAATCGATGAGCAGTTCTTTGATGACCACATGAACGTCAATGTCAAGGGACAGTTATTCCTTGTCAAGGCAGCTGCTCCACTTCTCACTTCGGGTACGTTTCTCTCTTACATTCTTGTGACGTCTATTCTCATTTAAAGATTCTACTATACAGGTTCCTGAATTATATTCCTATCTTCGTCACTTACGAGATTGTCCTTAGTCTTACCCGACGCACTAGTCTACATCGCTACCAAGGGCGCCATCGAGCAAATATTCGCGTGCCCTTGCCGAAGACTTTGGCGTCCGGGGCATTACCGTCAACACCATTTCTCCCAGGCCCACAGACACAGACCTTTTCCGCTAGGGGAAGCCCGAAAGTACCATCAATTACATTGCCAGCCGAGCTCCGTCCAATAAGTTGAGTCATCTAGATGAGATAGCCCCGGTCGTTTCCTTCCTTGCAAGTCCTGCAGCAGACTAGACTAATGGACAAAACATTCTGGTAAATGGGGTGAGCACCGCTATTTCCGGAATGCAACCTTTGAAGTTAATTCATTTCAGGGTTACGTTGTGTAAAAAATAGGTCGAGTTTTCGTACATATCTCATTTCAGACCGTCGGTTAAATGACCGTAACGAATTATCACCGCTTACAATAAACGAATGCAAATGGAGATATCACAAGAGCGGCACTTACGCTTGACAATATTAAAATAAGGCAATTGACGAAGAGTATAGTAAGGAGCAATTTAGCATGTAACCGACAGAGGTGCCGACGCTTCCTGCTCTCGTCTGATCTGAGGGCAAGGAGACAATAAGCTTATACCGTTATTAGACGGGAGAACCTGCTGGATTGATATTAACCATGGTCACTACCGCTTATTATGCCGGAGACCGTATCATGTAGAGGAGATAGATAGGGGGGTGGGTTCTCGGCGGCTATTTGTGCTCGGGAAGGGTTGAGGTTCTGCCAGCATTAAACTTGGCGTTGCTTAGTGGGTTGTTGCTGAGTCCTGTGGAGCATCTGGTCACTGTGATGTCTCTTTAGATGTTCTGTGTACATTTGGTTGTGTCTTGTATGTGCTGGAGGATTTCATCCAACCCAGTTTGCTGCAGCCCCTTACCTTTAAGGATGATAGTGGATGCGACGTACGATTAGACTACGATCTAAGGTACTTGATTCTGTCAGCCTTTTCTTGCTGCTTGTAATTGATTGCATCCTTCTCTAAGGTACGTGGCATGTTCGTGCTCGGGTCTATTAGTCACGATCTAGGCGCCATTCCTCTGAATTCACGTGTTTAGAACGCGTTAATTGAATTAATTGCACTTTGTATTACTAGTTTACAATGGGATTTATCCTCAGCTAAGCTGCGACCCAAAAGTATATCGAGGATAGTTTCCTCTAATACACATCTGAGCAAAGAATACAACACGGTAGCCGACAAGAAGGCAGAAGTCTCAAGTAATTACGTAAGTAATTAAACAAGAAGAAACTAACAGCTTGCTTCATTCTTATGCTGTAAGAGGTATCAAGCAGGAAGCACGAGGCACAGAGAGGGAATGCAGGATAGGGGGTGTGTAGCAGAGCTACGAGAGAGAGTAAACCTTAGGGTCGGAGGCAGAGGTACAGAGGCCCAGGAACCTATATACCCCGTGCCAAGCCCAGGGTACTCAGGGGTTGGATAGCTGTAACATAACCGTGACATATACCTTCTTGCCTATGCGAAAGAACAGCCTATTAAGCAGTTCTATAATGTCTAGAGTGTGTGTTAAATCTTTGTTTGTAATACTAAGTTTAGAAAAGAACGTGTTTGCAAATTTGCCTCTGCTATTAGACGTTTAGGCTAATACGCAGCTATCTAATCTTCTCTTTTCTACTGAGGCAGAACCCTATGCCAACGCTGCTGTTGTTAAGCCGTAGATGATGCTCTTTAGTTGTACGACCTTCTCTGCTTCAAACGGGATATGTTGGAGTAGCAGCTGTCCAAAATCCTGGAATTGGTGCTGTCTAGCAATCGCCGCGGCTTCAAAAACTTCAGGGTAGGACCCAGAGAACGCCCAGTCAATCAGCCACGCTTGGCCCAGCGGATCTATGACGATGTTCCGAGGCGTAATATCCTGGTGTGTGAACACGAAGCGCTTGAATACGAATGGAGGAGCAGAGTCTGGGATTTGGCGGAAGCGTTTGCAGACAGATAGCTTGTGGTTAAACCATTCTTCAATCGCGTCGCAGTTTTTGAAAGGTCCTGCTCCGTAGTCAGAGAACCACATGCCCTGACATGGGCCCCCACCTACAGGGCCTGCGAAGTCGAGGGGGTGAGATTGTAGCTGGTTTACCATGTTGGCAATTTGAAAGACCACATTTTCGCGTTGATCATGAGTGAGATGGGCCCACCGGTCAGCCAAGCAGTCGCCGTGAATGTAGTCCATAACAATGTATCCGCGGGTCTGGTAGTATCCACCATTTGGGTCAGCGGTATTGAAACTTCGATACACGGTAGGTAGGCGTATATTAGTTGACTCAGCAACGAGCTTCATATTCTCCGCTTCCGAGGGCAAAACAGATGTGCCACCTTTTAGTACTAGGTTCTGCGATAATCGAACAACGGCGGTGCCTCCAAGCTTGTGCAGTATCGGTGCCGTCTCCAGCAGTGCAATAAGAGTCTCGTTAGATACAGTGTCTAGATTAATATCGTCAAGTGGAAAGTGGGTTGAGGAATCTCTACTGGCCGGCTTTGACGATAACATTAGAGTTAATCAACATAGACGGACTTGTGGCTTACATCACTAACAGGTGTCCAAAAGTCTGGGATTTTCGTAGTCGCACAGTTTATGTCGTCCATGATGCTCGGTAGTCAGAGTCTGGCGGACAAAGAAGTTGGGATCGAGTTGGGTCGAATTTAGGGGGTTGTAGTAAGGTTAGTTGAAAATCTGAGCGTGCGCTTAGTTCATAGTCGCGCCGCCCAGACTCGGAACAACAAACTCCGAAAGCGGCGAGGCAGATCACGACAACGGCGCAATACTCTTGTCGGGTTTCAATTCTAGCTAAAGAAATGAGAGCATCCTGTTGCTAACATTACGCAGTAAGCAGCTTAGTTTCTACATCTAATTTCCCAGGCCAAGCTAGGGTTAAGTACTAAGGGAATTGTAATCCGTAACGGTACATATGTTACATTTCTTGGCAACGTCCCCACCTTTTCAACACAGCTTCAACCGACTGCCTTTGGTAAGAGAAAAGTCAGTCTCACACCCTATTACATGCCTCCCCTTTTCTTTCCCTTTGCTCGTCCCCACCTAGTATAGCCCTTTGTTGCAGCGCTGCCCACTTTCCCTCTTAGCCAAATCGCGCTGGTGGTGCTCCAACCCCGGGCAGTCTGTTGTAAATATAGAGGTAGTGTAAGCATGCAGCTATGTAGGAGCCTTATGAAGTAAAACGTGTATTGTCGTACCTAGGAGCTCAAGAGAGCTCTAGGGTAACTATATTTATCTCAGCTAGCTCAGCCGGGGTGAGGAGAGAACCGAGGACGCACAAACCACCATGCATTGTCACGGTCGGCATGCTCAAGCTACAAGCAAGAGGTAGTGTAACTCAACTAGATTAAACTAAGGAGCAGAGGAGCTGCTCTGCGAGTTTAAATATACATGTGTGCCCCCTGCCAAGGCGCTACTTGTAGCACTAGCGTGCTACTCGTTGCGCAAGCGAGGGAGCTGATGCCGCAGAGCATGTGAGGCGGTACACGCCGTCACATGCATAATACTACTCTAAATAGAGTATGGCCCGGGGGTTAGCAGTTTTTAACCCTCCTAAGTAGCGTTTCTATCCTTAGCTGTCTAAGAGGCTTTTGTAATTATCCCTATAAATTAACCTGCTTTAAGAGCTAAATACAATGTTGTAATTAATAATAGTATAATAAGTTTATTATTAATAGTTGTTAAAATTTAATATAATGTATAGATTTATAGTTAGTTTTAATTAAGCTTATTTTTAATAAAATCTAAAGAGCTTAAAGGCACTAAAGATCTAAATATATGTAAAAAAAATAACTTATCTATACTCTAATTTCACACGCTACACAGAACCCCTCTCTAAAAACATCTGCAACTACTATATTCTATTACGCTAAACCTAGTACGCTGTATATTATTACTGCTATAAAACACTTTTAGTTCTTAAACTATAAAAAATTATGTTAAGTGTTAATTTTTAGTATAGTAGATAATTTATTAAGTGTTACAGTCTACAGTTGGACCGACGTAACTCCACCCGAAGTGCTCTACAATCTAGCCAGGTTGGGGCAGAGCTCGTTTACAGACTAATTAGAAGACACGGAGGCAGCGCAGCTGCCTAAGATTATAGAGGAATGCGGTATCTAATAAGCAAGCAGCTAAGCTTGCTAAGGCAAGCTTCTATAAGTTCTAACAAGCTTACTAAAAGGATAATAGTAAGAGCTTGCAAGAACTTACGCTAACTTGTTCTTAGCACTATTAGACAAGTATATAGTTTTAGCTTAAACAAACCTTTAGAAGGTGTGTTTAACATTTAGTTTATTTTTTACATAGACTAAGCAGTATTTTAGCTTTCTAATAAGCTGCAATACTATTTGTATATCTTGTAACATATATACCTCTAATTCTAACTAATAGAACTGTTTAACCTAGCCTTTATACTACTGTTATAGAGACAAACTACAATCTAGTCACCCTACCTTACTCTAGTAGCCTATTAGCTATTACGTAGGACTGTACACCCTACTGTTAGCCCCTTGCATTCCGCTCTACCCCTTAGGGATATTATTAACCTGCATGCGTTTAGAAAGCAAGGATTGCAATATTAAACACTACACACTCTTAGAAAGTATAACCTCTTAACGCAACTTTAATTCTAACATAGCCTATACAGCTCTATTAGAATTAACAGAAATTTTAACTATAAATAAAAGAGTTGTAGCTTAGTAAATTAACAGTATCTAGGATAACATTAAAGAACTTTAACAAATTAGTAATAAAGTTACTAAACTAGTAACGTACTTCACAGGCGAGTTACTCACACACCTAAGTTGCTTACTTTTACCAAGACCCTACTAAACTACCCTTCCTATACTAATGCATTCCCTACAACACTACTTAGACGCGCTAAAAGAACATTAGATACAGCTTACGCTTTAAGCTTTTAAACAAGACATAAAACTCTTAAAGAAATGTGCTGTAGCTATGTGTAAGGTCTTATAAAAGACAATAAATAACTACAGCACTAGATAACCTTTACAAGCTAATTCTACAGCTAAATTATAGAGGCTAGGTAATAAAAAAGAGCAGGTAATTATTAAGACTATACTTAAGCTATATGCGTAAGAAATTTCCCCTTAGATAGCATTTATAGCTAATATAGCTAATTCTTTGCGCGCTAAGTGTAATCTAGGCTATGTTTATATAAACTAGCCTAGTACATTTATAAAGCATTATTTAAAGCTTAAAGTAAAGTTTTAAGTGTAAGTATAGTTAAGAGATATTTAGCTAATTATAAACTCTATCTTACTAAAGTTGTACATGTTATTATTCTAGATGCTATACTTAGCTTTAATATTCTCTACAAGGCTAAACCTACTCTAAATTACTCTAGGACTCTTATAAAGGGCTCTCTTATAGTTGTACTTACACTTAAATGTTACTTTAAGCTCTAAATAACACTTTACAAATGTACTAGGCTAGTTTATGTAAACATAGCCTAGATTATGCTTAGCGCGCAAAGAATTAGCTATATTAGCTATAAATGCTATCTAAGAGGAAATTCCTTGCGTATATAGCTTAAGTATAGTCTTAATAATTACCTGCTCCTTTTTATTACCTAGCCTTTATAATTTAGCTGTAGAATTAGCTTGTAAAAGTTGTCTAGTGCTATAGTTATTTATTATTTTTTATAAGACTTTACACATAGCTACAGCACATTTTTTTAAGAGTTTTATGTCTTGTTTAAAAGCTTAGAGCGTAAGTTATATCTAACGTTCTTTTAGCGCGTTTAAGTAGTGTTGTGGGGAATGCATTAGTGTAAGAAGGGTAGTTTAGTTGTCAGATTTGCGCACCTACTGTCAAGACAGGAGGAACGCTTGACGAAAGCTGCTACATAGTACGAGCAATAAGCTCGAACAGTATGTTGCTGCAAATTGCAGCATTTTGCAGCATGTTGCAGCAAATTGCAGCATTTTGCAGCATTTTGCAGCATGTTGCAGTAAATTGCAGCATTTTGCAGCAAGTTGCAGCAGTTTGCAGCAAATTGCAGCAAATTGCAGCATGTTGCAGCAGTTTGCAGCAAATTGCAGCAAATTGCAGCAAATTGCAGCA